AAGTGCTACCATGCCTGGCCCTATAGTTAACTTTTTTTTTCGTAAGTAGAAGTACATTCTAAAATGATAAAAAGTACAATATAAATATATATATACATAAACCAGTTATATATATATATATATATATATATATATATATATATACCAGTAATATAGTCATTTATCATTACTGTCAAGTATTATGATATTATAACTGTATGTGCTATACTTTTATACAAATGGCAGTGGAGTAGGTTTGTTTACCCCAACATCACCACAAATACATGAGGAATGTGTAGGGTTATGATGCTGTAACAGCTACAAGGTCGCCAGGTGGTAGGATTTTTTCAGCTCTTGTGGAGTCTTATGGGACCACTATCACATATATCATCTGTCATTGACTAAAACATAATCAAGCAGCACATTACTGTACTTTTTTCTTTTAAAAGTCATAGTACTTCACAGGGGCTATCTCTCTTCAGCTATTTTTTCTTCCTCTATTTCCTCTGAAGAGGGCAATGGCCCCTTGAGTAGAGGCTGCTTGTCTTATCTGCGTCCCTGTCCCACATAGCTTCCCTGTCCTTCCTTACACAGAGTGGGTGCTAATCCTGTTTATGGTATTTACTCCAAAGCCATGACCCACAGAAAGCAATATTTCCAGTGGGGGTTCTTTAACACCAGTCTTTTATTACTGATAATTAAGTGAGCAATTCTCTTTTGTTAAGAGCTCCCGTGAATGTACCTTTTGAGAACTGTTTTAGAAAATTTTTGTTCGGTCTAATATTACTCTCTTCCGAGCCTCCTACATAAATCAGAGCTTCTCAAGGAAGGATCAGTTTTATAGCTAAACAAATATACTGTTTGAATTTAGCCACTTTTAGTTTCAACTTATTCCTTCTCCTCTAAGACAAGTTTTGTGTTTTTATAGTAATCAGCTATTTCTCACAGACTCTTAGAGTGGAGAATTTGCGAAGTGTTATGAATCTGAAAGACTCCGAGACTCCTTTGTGGGGATACATTTGGCCAGCACAGCTCTGGTATTAGGGAAATGAGCCTGCAAGGTAGCTCACTTATCTGTACATTGGCAAATAGAGAAAGATAGCCTTGTAATAGAGAAGAAAAAAATCTCAGTGGGGAAAGAAATAATAAAATCAAGCTGGTTTACGGTTTGTCAGTCTAAAAAGCTTTTAAGCCTTATCTATAAAGGTAGATCCACTTAATGTTTGTTCTGCATTTCAGGCATCATTGTGTGATAAGTGGTGTAAATTTAGCCCCTTTAAGTCTGATCTCCTGGGAGTTGAGATTTAAGCGTTGAAACTTTATTTGAAAGGACTCTATCGATTAGGTTTTGATTTGGTCCTTCTTCACCAAAGAGAGATACTAAATCATGGCTTAGCTTCCCTGTTAGGTGTTTTTTTCTGTTCACTTTACAGGCCACTCTCTCCCTGCCCCCATTCTCCACGTTCCATTTCTAATGTTCTGCCTAAAAAGAGTAAAGTGGTATGAGAGGGGGAAAAAGGGAAAGAAAAATCAACTGTCACCCTGTGAACATAATTGATTTAACAAATAACATCTTTCAATTCTCAAGGAAAACCTCTGTCTTCACTTACGTCAATTAGTGTTCAGTTCAATAAGTGGTGGAGGTCTTAATTTAGATGGATGGGAAAGTTTGCAGGTTCTTACTTCCTAGGGAAGGAGTGTGCTTTTCTTATTTTAAAGCCATGCTGTCTGGATTTATGCATCTACTCTGCAACAAAGAAGCTTGAAAGAGAATTAATGTGATAATTTTTATTCTTCCTGAAAATAGAGAAAAGACATTTAATTTCTGTCCAGAGATTTGTTAGAATAAAGAAGTGAAACGAGGGAATGAACATTTTCTGGAATCCATTAGACTGTAAACTCCATGCAGGCAGGTACTTTATCTTGTTCATTCACCATTCAATCTCCAATGCACATAGTAGGTGCATAGTACCTATTTGTTAACTGGATCTGTTGTTAAGGGAATAAGAACAAAAAGGGGCACAATTCAGGTTTTCTGTTAAGAATTTAGTTAAATTTCATTTCACTGGTTGCTTCATCCCTTGTCCCCAACGCCCTTTCCCCTAATTCTTTAAATGGCAGGTGGCTTTTAAGAGTGCAGTATATACTATATCTTCAGAAATGATTAAGGAGAACCGATTTCATCAATTCCCAGACTGTCAGAATTGGAAGAGATCTCAGAGATGATGTAAAGCTGCTATTTATAAATTCTTGTAAATGAATTGCTTGTTTCAGAATCACATTGAAACGCGATAGTTCCCTGACTCCTTTGTAAGACTTATGAAGGGATTGGCTCACTTACTCAGCTCACAGCTCTCAACTCCTGTATGAGGGGGAGCATACAGGTGAGCAGGTGCAAGGGCCAGGATGAGTGCTTCTGGGCAACCAGCAGGAGCAGAACTCTGTGCGGGTCTGCAGCAGCATCTAGAGGTTGCCTGTGACTCTCAGAACCCCAGAGGGTGCATGTTACAGTGTGCTATTTTAGTTTTGTCATTCATGGATGGCTTAAGTGTTAAACAGCTCAATGGAAGGGTCAATGTGGTAGCCGCTTGTACGTGCACCCAGGTCCTTGTCTGGCATCCAGGAAGAATCAGGTTGTGTGAAAGAATTGAAGGATGGTGAATGTGGAGATTTTATTGAGCAGTGAAAGTGGATCTCAGTGGGATGGGGAGTTGGGAAGGGGATGGAGTGGAAAGGTGGTCTTCTCCTGGAGTTTGGTTGTCTCTGGCTGAATTCTTCTCTGAGATCCTGCCATCAAGCCATCCCTCTGAAGTCAAGCTGCTTCTCTCCAATGTCCAGATGCTTCTTCTCTTCTCTCCTCTGCCACTCTGCTACTCTACTGGTGGGGCCTGGGGTTTTTATGGATACAGGATGGGGAGTAGGGTGGGCCAGGTGGTTTTGGAAAAGGCAGCATTCATGTGGGAAAACAGGAATGCATGTTTTCACTTTGGGCCACAGATCCAGGCTTGAGGATGTGGCCCTCACCAGGGACTGCCCTTTTCCACCCAGTATTTTCCTGCCACCTTTCCTTATCAACATGAGGTATGTTATACATGTACAGACTCGGGCCTGAGCTTTGAAATTTGTGACTGAGTCAAACACACTCTTGGGTAGACTCTTGGGAGTCTGTTTCCTTTTGTGACTTCCCCTAGTAATGTCAGTGTGAAGCTGGGTATAGAAAGCACTAATCCCATCTGCCTCTCAGTGCCTTGACCTCTGTGGTCTATGTTACTCCTTGGTAAAAGTGATCAGCCTAAGGTACCCAGCAGAATGATTGGTGGAGCTGTGATAAGAACTCAGGTCTCCTACCTCTGTCAATGGTGCTCCTGGCCCTATGATTTGCTGCTTTGGTTTAGCAAACACTCCTTACTACTCAGCATTCTCTCAAGATCCAGTAATACTTCTTCCTTCCAAGATAATGGTAGTATTTGTGGTGATGGCCAGGCAGAATCTGAAGGAAATACTAACTTTAGTTTCATCTACTTTGATGTTAAATATATTTTATCGTCTTCTCTAGCGATGCCTTTGATTACCCTCCATCCTCATCCCTGGGCTCAGACCCCAAGTCAGAAGTCCCTGCCTTTCTTCTGCAAGTCTACTTGGCATTCCCAGCCCTGCCTGATCATAAGAGGATCATATGGGTGCCTGTTAAGGGCATAGAGTTCTGGTGCCTGCTTGAGTCCCATTAAATCAGAATCTTCCTGGGAGGGGCCTGGGGACCTGTATTTTAAGTTCCCCTTGATATTATTATCTGCAACAATTCTCAGGCTTCGGTATCTGAAAATAGCAGCTTCCTTTCCCTTGGATCCAACTTTGATGTCCTGGAGACCCCAGTTTATAATTACATCGTAACCCTGTCTTCCCATTTGATGGTTTATCCTCTCTTCTGTAGAACTTGTGCTTTAAGGAGGAAAGGAATTTCTTTTTTCTTTCCTCTAAGGTGGAATTTTCCTAGAAAAGATGCTAGGTGGACAGGTGGGTGTGAACAGTAGCAGAATGAACATTGCAAGAAGGTTCATGGGTGCCTTTGAAAAGGAAGAGGGTGCCTGTGCTCTTTTCCTGGCTTTATTACTTAATAGTTGTGTAACTTTGGGCAAATTATTTAAACCTCTCTGAGTTTATGTTTCCTCGTCAGTAAAATGGGGATAAAGATAGTACTCATTTGGAGGTTTTATGTGCATTAAGGTGTCCAAAGTCAGCTCTTAGGACACAGATACAGTTTGAGATTTGCCTGCAGGGGGTGTTGGAGAGTACACGCAGGTACAACTCTTGTCATGGGGTATAGAGAGGGATTTTTGAACTGTGATGCACCTGCCACAAAGGTCTTAGCTGATCCCTTGGAGAGCTTTGAGTGTTGGATGCTCCTCAGAGTTGTCCCAAATTAAGGGAAGGAGGCCAGGTCTTTATACCCCTGTACTTATCAGTCACTCGATGTGGGCTGCCCCTGGAGGGACATGACTTCAGGTAAGGCAGCTCCCTTTGGCTGAGGGTGGCTGTGTGCCAGAAGCAACCTACATACAGTCTGGGTGGAAAGGGGAGTGCTTTAGTCCTGGGAGGGATCTCAGTGGTACACCACAGCACTCACTACCCCCAGGTAATGTGTGTAAAACCCCAACAGTGAATCTAGCACATCTGTAAATGTTCAACAGATATTAACTATTGCCATTATCATTCTAGCTCTGGCAGGGCCACTTTCAAGAAGGTTATTTAACTATTCTTGGGCTATTTTCTTATGTTTAAAATGGAGATCCTAAGTTCTGTTCTGCCTACGTCCCTGAGTAGTTTGGAGCACATGCAGAGATAATGTATGTGAAATTGCTGAGTAAAATAGTATTAAAATGTCAGGTATGGCTATGAGCCTACCTTTTTGAAATGAATATATGGCCATGACCTGGATTCTTTGAAGGGAAAAGGTTGTGATAAATGTAAAAGTACTTGTCTGTGAAATAGGGCATTTTAATTTTTTTCTCTTCTTTCTATAGGGAATTAGAATCATGGAGATGCTGCTAAAGGAACAGTGTGGTGCCCCCTTAGCAGAATAAAGAATCATCAGTGAGTACCAAAAGCAAAGTCAGAATTATTTACGCAAGCCGTGTTTTCATGCTTATCAGCCTGGTATTCTACAGCAGCCTCCCTGGGCTATTCACGCTGCACACTTCCCAATTATATGCATAGAATACTATTTCACAGGTGTTTTATCTCTTTAGTACTTTTATTTACTTGGTTCTTTGATTTTCAGAGCAGTTTTGTATTACATGCTGGGTTACAACTCTATTCAAATTGTTAAAACTGTTGCACAATCTACCATGATTGGGAGCCTCAAAGTATCATAGATTTGCAAAGACTGCAGCTCAGATTAACTGAAGCTTAATGTTTTTGTTCTGAAAATAATCAAAGGAGGGCTTTAAAGATGTAATTGGAGCAGGAAGGGAAACAAGGAAGGGGCATGTTGATTGGCCAGTGAAACAAATATCTCTTATTAGTCATATATATTTCCAGTGATTCTGAGTAGCTGCCTGAAATGCGATTGAGAGGGATTCTGAGGTCTTGAGAGTAATACTCAGGCTCTGGGTAAGAGTGCCTTTAGTGATTAACAGTGTCTGCCCATGGGCACAGTATGGAAGGAAGACAGCACTCATGCTGAAGCACGTGCTGCATCTAGTTTAGGGCAAATGGTGGAGGGTTAACAGATAGTGGGGAATTGCCGAACTACTCAACTCCCTACCCTCACCCCCTAAATTTATATGGTCTAAATCAGGAAGAATGGTTTTTATAGTGGAAATGGCAGGACAGAGTTATTTAAGGGAGAATCAAAGCCCCAAATAAATGAGTATGATAGATTTACATCATACAGAACCTATAGACCTTAGATTTTTAACACCTGAGAGTTGAAACCTTTGAATAAAACAAACTTTGCCTTGGGTAGTGTAGAATTAACTCAAATTTTCTTATGTTGGTTTAAAAGTTGAGACACGTGGTTTTGTGTAAGCAACCTAGTATTCTAATTGTGACATACAATAAACTTTGAGAGCAGTTAGCCAAAAAGAAGCAAAAGGAGCATTCATGTAGAAGCACCTTGGCATACCAAGCATACTGTCCAGATGTGTGAATGAATATCAGTTGGAGAATTATAAAGTCTTTCTGTTTATTTTCAGGTTGGACTCCATTTTGATTAATACTAAGCCCCTGTATACTTAATACATATTAATTCCTTTGTTACTGGAAATCTAAACAAGATATAATTTCATTTAGCATAGGCATGCACATAGCAGGTGCTCATAAAATGTTGGAATTGAATCTAAATATGGCTTACTCCTACATCCACCCTGTTCCTTTAAAAAATTACAGAGAACAACTTGGCCACATCTCCCTATTTTTCTCTGCTAGCATATTTGTGAGGCTCACTAAGCAACCTCTGTACTTGCATACTTAGGCACAGATCCCATCTTACTCTGGGAGGTGGGATCTTGAGTCAGCTCCAAGGTAAATGAAGGAACGAGGGGCCTCCATTTCTATGGGAAAGGTGAACACCTGTTGGTCTTCAAACTTCAAATTAGTGGTTTTGAAACTTTCTTAAGCATTAGAGTCATCTGGAGGATTGGTGGGCTCCACTCCCCAAGTTCTGATTCAGTAGGTCTGAGATGGGGCCTGAGCATTTGTGTTTCTAACAGATTTCCATGTGATGGTGATCCTGGTCCTGGGACCACACTTTGAGAATGGCATTTTTAAATGAGTTCACATCTCTGGGTGCAGACAGATGAAATGCCAGGGCACTGAGAAAGCTGTTAAGCCAGGAGTTAGACATTGTTATATATTTGGTCAACTTTTGATTAATAGGAAGAGTGAGAGGGGGCGCCAAGATGTCCAAGAGAAGCCAGTGCCAGAATGCAGCTCACAGTGAATGAGACACAGAGGGCTGGAGGACTTCACGGTTCCAAAAGAGGTGCCAGGTTCTTTTCTGTGGGACTGATAGGGCACTGGAATTGGGCCTAGGGAAGGAGCCGCAGGGTGACAGCCACCCAGGGGGGCAAATCAAGCCAGGGTGAAATGTGCAGCTGTCTTGGAGGATCTGGAGACTTAATCCCCTGGGAGCCCCATTTTGGATCCTGTGCTTGCCTCATCCCTCCTGCAACCCATGGTCCATGGGGGGCCCTGCCAGACAGTGAGGCGCTGTGGGTAGTCAATACAAATCTGAGCAGTGGCTACTGCCAGGCTTGGCAAGTTGTTGCAGAGACCTGGGTGGGAATTCGGACCAGTGCCAGTGGGACAGACCATCCCACTCTGGGAGAGACACCATTGGGAAGGCGGGGCCAATCTCATCTGCAAACAAACTCCAGGGAAGGACCACCTACTCAACAACCTGACTGAACCTGAGAGAGCCCAGCAAAGCCCTCCACAGGCCAAAAAAGATACAGCTCCAACCTCAATTAAAAAAAAGTACCCTCAGAAACTCCTCCTGACATCACCAACTTCAAAGATTAAAGGAAGATAAATCCACGAAGATGGGAAAAAAACCAGTGCAATAAGGATGAAACCACCAAAGAACAGAACACTTCTTCTCCTCCCAGGGATCACAACACCACACCATCAAGGGAACAAAAAAAGACAGAAAATGAATCTGACGAATTGACAGAAGCAGGCATCAGAAGGTGGGTAATAACAAACTTCTGTGACTTAAAAGACCATGTTCTAATCCAATGCAAATAAACTAAGAAAAAGGTTAGATGAAATGCTAACTATAGAATAACCAGCTTAGAGAAGAACATAAATGACTTGATGGAGTTGAAAAACACAGCGCGAGAACTTTGTGAGGCATACACAAGTTTCAACAGCCGAATTGATCAAGCAGAAGAAATGATATCAGAAGTAGAAGATCAAATCAATGAAATAAAATGAGAAGCCAAGATGAGAGAAAAAGGGGTGAAAAGAACAAAGCCTCCAGGAACTATGGGATTATGTGAAAAGACCTAATCTATGCTTGACCGGCGTACCTGAATGTGATGAGGAGAATGAATCCAAGTTGGAAAACACTCTTCAAGATCTTATCCAAGAGAACTTTCCCAACCTAACAAGGCAGGCCAACATTCAAATCCAGGAAAAACAGAACCACAAAGATATTCCTCAAGAAGAGCAACCCAAGGCACATAGTTGTCAGATTCACCAGGGTTGAAATGAAGGAAAAAATCCTAAGGGCAGCCTGAAAGAAAGGTTGAGTCACCCACAAAGGAAAGACCATCACACTCAGAGCAGATCTCTCAGCAGAAACCCTGCAAGCTAGAAGGGAGTGGGGGCCAATCTTCAACACCCTTAAAGAAAAGAACTTTCAACCCAGAATTTCATATCCAGCCAAACTAAGCTTCATAAGTGAAGGAGAAAAAAAGTCCTTTACGGACAAGCAATTGCTGAGAGATTTCATTGCTACAAGACCTGCCTTACAGGAGCTACTGAAGGAAGTACTAAACAGGGAAAGGAACAACCAGTACCAGCCACTGCAAAAACATACCAAATGGTAAAGAATAACGACAGAATCAAGGAGCCATGTCAATTAATGGGGAAAACAACCGGCCAGTAACAAAATGACAGAATCAAATTCAAACATAACAATATTATCATTAAATGTAAATGGCCTAAACACCCAAATCAAAAGACACAGACTGGCAAACTGGATAAAAAGTCAAGACCCATCCGTGTGCTGTATTCAGGAAACCCATCTCACATGCAAAGACTCACATAGACTCAAATAAACGGATGGAAGAAGATCTACCAAGCAAATGGAGGGGAAAAAAAAAAAGGCAGGGGTAGCAATCCTAGTCTCTGATAAAGCGGACTTTAAACCAACAAAGATCAAAAGAGACAAAGAAGGGCATTACATAATGGTAAAAGGATCAATGCAACAAAAAGAGCTAACTATCCTAAATACTTATGCACCCAATGCAGGACCACCCAGATACATAAAACAAGTTCTTAAAGACCTACAAAAAGACTTAGACTCCCACACAACAACAGTGGGAGACTTTAACACTCCACTGACAATATTGGACAGAGCTATAACACTCCACTGACAATATTGGAATGAGACGGAAAGTCAACAAGGATATCCAGGACTCAAATGCACATTTGGACCAAGCAGACCTAATAGACATTTGCAGGACATTCCACCCCAAATCCACAGAATACACATTCTTCTCAGCACCACATTGCACTTACTCCAAAACTGACCACATAATTGGAAGTAAATCATTCCTCAGCAAATGCAAAATAATGGAAATCACAACGAACAGTCTCTCAGACCACAGCACAATCAAATTAGAACTCAGGATTAAGAAAAGCACTAAATACCGCACAATCACATGGAAACTGAACAACTTGCTCCTGAATGACCAATGGATAAACAATAAAATGAAGGCAGAAATAAAAATGTTCTTTGAAACCAACGAGAATGAAGACACAATGTACCAGATCCTATGGGACACATTTAAAGCAGTGTCTACAGGGAAATTTATAGCAATAAATGCTCACATGAGAAACAAGGAAAGATCTAAAATTGACACCCTATTATCAAAATTGAAAAAGCTAGAGGAGCAAGATGAAAAAAACCTCAAAAACCAGCAGAAGACAAGAAATAACTAAGATCAGAGCAGAACTGAAGGAGATAGAGACACCAAAAATCCTTCAAAAAATCAATAAATCAGGACCTTGTTTTTTGAAAAGATCAACAAAATAGATGGACCACTAGCTAGACTAATAAAAAAGAGAAGAATCAAATAGATGCAATAAAAAATGATAAAGGGGGAGATCACAGCCGATTCCTCAGAAATACAAACTACCATCAGAGATTACTACAAACAACTCTATGCACATAAACCAGCAAATCTGGAAGAAAGGGATAAATTCCTGGACACTTACACACTCCCAACACTAAGCCAAGAAGAAGTCGAAACCCTGAATAGACCAATAACAAGGTCTGAAGTTGAGGCAGCAATTAATAGTCTACCCACCAAAAAAAGTCCAGGTCCAGACAGGTTCACAGCTGAATTCTACCAGACACACAA